AATCTTTCTGGTAAATCCTTTTCTCGTAGTTCCAGTCTTTCCAACGTTTCCTTTCTTGAATCGTTTGCACTCATATTTCTTTTTCGACCACTTTCAAGCTTTGTTATGAGCTAATGAAAAAAAAATGCGAATAAGAATTATTCTTTCCCACTTCTTTCTTAATTGAATACGAGTTACTTGCTTCTTTCTTGATCAAATCCTTAGGTCGCTTCTTTCTTAATCGAATCCTTAGATCGTTTGTTCGGATACGGCTGGTTGGACCAAATTTTGTCGCCGATTTTCTTCAACCGTGACAAAAACTGAGGGTTCTTTCTGCCTCTTTAGTTGGTAATACCTCAAAACTTGGGTTATTAGACTTTTATTACGATAAATTTATTAATACAACAACAACATCGACACAACAAAGTAATAACAAAAACTAAGAACGAAAAGATTAAATCACGCCCGATATCCTCCCCTCCAATCAACCGACCTGTCGAAACGCGTCTTTCGAAATGATTTGGCGCTCAGGATCTTCCGTTTCTCCGAGTGGGAGGGTGCTTGTACCGTTCATGATTACAAAAATTAGCTTCCTCATGGAACGCACATTGTTAAGGGTTAAGACGATATGAGCATATACAGCAAAAATATCTGGCTTTCAACAAAGGGGGTTATTGTTTCTCTGTTTCCATTCGCGATATCAGCGACACTCCCGAGGCGAGCGTGGTCTGTACCTTTATCCTCGGTTGGAAACCACCAAAGGATAGAGGTGTCCCATGCTCTCACTAGCTCTTTTCCGTTAGCTATTCTTACAACCGCTGATCGACATATACCATTTTCGTCCCTTATGAGTCTGTCGATTCTTCTCATTCTCCAGGTATTTCTCGGACAGTTCCCTTTCAACAACACCAGCTCATCAATTTTGGGTTCTCGTCGAATTCGACTGCGAGGCCCTCGGTGTTTGCGTTGAGCTCGTTTTCTTAGTTCTTCTAGGTATTTTCGCCACATTTTCCATAGTCTCTTTCCATAGTCTCTTGATCAAGTCTCTTGCACGTGATCGTGTGCTGATGTTTCAGTTCCTTCGTTTGTAAATTTTCTTCCCCGCATATCTTATCCCTGCGGTAAGCCCTTTCTTCTGTCGAATTTTCTCCTCGAGCTGAGCCTGGATTCAGGAAATCTCTAGGTCTTAACACTAGACCTATTCCAGATCTACCAAGGGTCTTTCATCGATAATCGCTTCAAGAGAGTAAAGTTATCAATTCTCCGTTGTTAAGGAGCTTTGTACCGATGGCTTTTCTTAGAGATCCTTTAACTACTCCAGCTATTCTTTCGTAAACGCCGCCTTGCCAAGGAGCGCCTGGAGTAATGAATTCTCACTTTGTCGTTTAATTTTCCGCTGTACTTAATTCTACAAGTACCTTGGAGGCTGCTACAAGGTTCTTGGGTTTCCTTTGCTTCCTGTGCTTTTCTGTTATTTTCTAACGTTTGCGGTTAATACATTATCATAGAGATTCTTTGCTACTGCCGATAATTTAGAGCTTTCTTCATCCAGTAGATGTCGAATGACAGCAGCTAGCAGAAAAGGTGGTGATACTGCGCCGCAATGAACTCGCCTGGATTGGTAAAAAGCTAGGTTTCCTTGAGTCACTTCCTTCGTCTTTTAACCATAAAAACCTGATGACATCTCTGACTTCCCGTTTCAGGCTCACTTACAGAAATGCTTTTTCTACATCGGCTACCACCAGGTAACATCCTTGTCTGGCTCGTAATAGAATCCGTATTGATGATGGCATCATTACTGGCCCCCTATACAGACATTCATTTAATGACGATCCTTTTTTTGTCTTTGCTGATGCGTCAAATACTACCCTAAGCTTCGTGATGGATTTCTCAGGTGATATTACCGCTTGGTAGGGCAGGTAGATACTCGCCATGTTTCACATTCTGATTCTTCACCCTATGATTCTTTTCTCAAGTAAGGTTTTAATATACTCACCGTAACATTCCAATAATTCTGGAGACTTCTTCAGTTTCCATATTGTAATTCGTAGACGTCCCTATGCCAGCCCATATCCTTCTGCTGGCGCTATCTCTTAGTTTTTCCATGGTCAGCCCACTACACATCGCCCTCTTTTATCCTTGGTGAGCGATTTTTGAAAGGCTTCAAGGGTTTTTTTACCTTGATAATCCGTCATTAAATCCTTGGTCCCGATTGCTTTCAATTTCCACGTCTGTTCAGTCCGATCCATGTGGATTTGCAATTCCTTCCTTGTTATGTTCACAACTGTTTGAAATTTATAAGACTCGTCATTTGTTTCCTATGTCACTATCTTGCGCCACTTTCCGTTTGCCGCCTTCGACCACTTTACTTTTGTTTCCATAATCATCCATCCTGGTGGGCGTTTTATGGAATTACGAATTACTAAATCTGCAACCCGTTCTACGCCTAATAATACATCTGGTTTTCCTCACTTACCTTCAACTAGTGTGTCTTTCATTGTTTATTACATACGGTATCCGTTCGACTATTGAATCGACAATGTACGTATTCTTCACATATATTCTTTCATATTTCCGATATTCTTCACATTTCCAGGCAGCGTTTGAACTCCGAAGGTTATCTTTCGACTTTCATATTTCCTTGTGCCCACCATTCCTGTTACTAACATTCCCACATCCGGTGATGTTTATTTTAAATACAATTTGCTTACCATTGATTCTGTAACATAATTACAATCACTTCCTGTATCGAAGAAAATTAAGGCCTTTGATGTTTTTCTTGGTTCATCTGGATTGATTAGCCTTACTTCTTTACACATCATATACGTTTCCCGAATGCTATCATCCGTAACCATGGCCGCCACTGTTTTTGGGCTTATGTTTGTTTCCTCACTATTTTTGAAATTCTTGCTTTATTTCGTTGCGTCCCCTGCATAAAGCGCTATTGTGGCCAGATCCACAATAAAAACATTTCATTCTTCTCATGCATTTTCTTGTGAGTGGTCGTTTTTTAAGCATAATTCCATAAAGTCTCAATATCTTTAATCTTTCCATCCTTTTGTCAACAGTAGGGTATGTGTCTGTCGTTCCAATGATTACCTTCACAAAAAACACGCGGTAATTGACTTCCTTCTTCCTTTTGTGACACTTTGCTGAGATATATTCTCTCCGCTATTGAGCAAACTGTCGAACGTCTGATGCCACTCTCCCCATTCG